TCTCTCTCTCTCTCTCTCTCTCTCTCTCTCTCTCTCTCTCTCTCTCTCCATAAACTCCCATTCAGAGCCTCATTTGCAATACTGTCTCCCTCGAAAAACTCTCAGGAGCGTTTATAAAACTCCCTGGATCGTTTATATTTTACTCTAAAAAGTAGGGACGGATCTGTTCCAGTATCAACAGAAGTGGGGCAAATTAAACTCCCCCTCCCGCCCAACATTAAATGACTGTAAACAAAATTAATACAATAAGCAACATCATTCCCAACACAATCTATAATTATATATGTTATTACTCCAGTAGAATTACATTTTTTTTCTAACCTGATGGTGGGATCAGTAGGGCCTCTTTTTATATAGGTGGTTAACATGTTGTCCAATGAAACTGTTTATCATTTTGATACCTTCCGACGAAAATTGACCCTACCGGTGTCACCACGGCGTCCCCACCGATCAGTCTAACGTGACGTTGTTATGTGTGTGTTTTATAGATTATTGAGAATGGTAGGCCCTAATATCACCGAAAAAATAGATAAAATGACAGTTGAATGACCAACAAAGACAACTGAAGACAATAGTCCGTCATATTTAGTACGGTAGAACTTTATTCGGAAAATTAATCTCAGAATCGAGTCGTATGATTTGTGTGCGATTTTTACCAATTAATCCCTAAGTAAAAAATAGTTGAGCCATGTAGTACCTTGCAAATGACCCAGAAACCCTGTAGTTTGTTGATTGCTTATTGGTAGTAAATAGTTTTTGGGCAGTTGCGACACTGGTGACATCGTGAGGGCATGGTGAAGGCTGGTTACGATTTGGTGGCACATCGATTGAGTATTTTCATTCATCTGGCCATGTAAGTACAGATTCATGCTTATATTTTACACATTTTTATAGCTTATGGTGATATAAATTAAATAATTAGACAAAGACCCTGCAAGTCTACCCATACACTTAAATTTGTGTAGAAAACAAGATTGTGATTATTCACCGGACGTGCCGTCTTGATCCAAAATAATGACGTCGGTACGATGTTTCTTCTATTAAAAAAAAATAACAATTACGATGAATACTCTCAGAATTCTACAATTCACGAAACATAGAATGTAAACTGGGCACTTACTGCGCACAACGGTCGTCGGCCGATGTGATGTTATGAAGAACGCCACACGACGACGTGCGCAACGGATCGTTTTTAACAACGATCCGTTCAGATTGCTACCGACAATCAGCAGACGGCGTTGCGTCATCTATCGTTGACAGGGAGCGGAGTTGGATTTGTCGTGAGTGCCCGGCATTATTCTTTTTTAAATAATCATACAAATTAATACAAACCAAAGTTGTCATTTATTTCATTTGAAACCAGTGTCAGTATTTACTTAGTGTGTTGCACATTTACAGTGAAAGGGGGCGTTTATTTGAGCATACCATAAGCCTCGAATTGAAGCCCCGGGTTGCAGCTTATGTTTTTTTAGGACCAAGGGCTTTTTTGAGATGGGCCTCATTTCGGGATGGGCTTCTTTTAGTGATTACTTTTGGAAACTAAAGAAGGGGCTTCTTTTCAAATGAATGCTGTAATTTTGGAATTGCTACTATACGACATTTTTCAAGTATGGAATTCGAAATTCTGTTTAAAAGTTTTTAAAATTTTAACTTATGCTAGTACATAAACTGACGTCAGTGTGAATGTAAGTACCGTACTATCTCGAAAGAAGCCCAAATCATCTTGATTTGGAACCCACGGGTTTCTTTTCGAGATTACTTTTGCAAACTAAAGAGGGCCTCTATTCGAGATGGAATTCTTTTCTATTCCAAGTTTTACGGTAGGCCCCCATACATAAATATCCACTTTCGGCTCCAGCGTCTGGGGGAGGGGGAAGTGATGGGAAAGGTAAAATTTTAGGGGTAATATGCTAGGGTGACCCGAAGTGGGTCGCTCAAAACGTCTTGAAAGTGGTCCAGGGGACAGAAAAGCCACCGTAAAAAGGTTGACAATTTAGGGGTTTCAGAGGTTTAGATTTAATCGATTTTATAGATAAATACGGTAGTCTACTAATAAAAATAGGCCTACATATTATTTGGTTTTTTTTCTCCTTTTTTTGGGGGGGGGGGTGGGGTGGGCTGAAATTCCCACACAGAATCTTAAGCTTTAACAACTCATGGCTTTAATATCCTCGACGGATGATTATTTATAGTTTTACATATTTTTACTGTAAATTTTTTGCCATAAAGTTGTAGTAAACCGTTTTTATTATTAAATTAAAATTAAAATTTATAATTTTTATATATGAAGTTTTAGATAAATTGTTTTGTATCAGGATTGTACGCAAGCGGGTGGGGGAAGGTGCGACGGATGCGAACATATATTCTGAAATATTTCACCCAACCATGATTTGGTTGAGGAGGGTAGAATCTCTATCTCTAAAAGTCCCTCCCTGGCTCACATTTATTACGAATTTGTTTTAAAAATAGGCTTATTCAAGTATTCATTTAAGTATGAGAGAAGTGGCGTAGGTAGAGGTTTTGGCGGCCGGGTAAAGAGTAGAAAATTACGCCCCCATTTTCCGCCCCCCATTCCTCCACCAATTATAATATTTTGAAATAAATTGATATTGGTTGTATAGACTTTAAGCATATCCGTACCATACGTCCATACCATGCACTGTCTAAATAACATTATTCAAACCCGAATAACTATTATTATTCTAGCTTTCATATGTTCTTTCTTACCAGGGGTGGCGCCATGATTTGCCCGAGGGGGGAGGGGTCCGAGGTCCGGGGGTGTGGGCGATGCCCCGACGAGGGGGAAGATTTCTTTGACGCGAGCATTTTTGACAATTTATGGGTTTCAAAGGCTTATTTAATCGATTTTAGAGTCTACTAACAGGCCTATGCACAAAATACATATAATTTTTTTTCCTCCCCAACGAATTATGATTTTTCTCACCGACGGGAGGGGTTGGGGAGATGGCGTCGCAGCTATCCCAGAAGGGGTCTGGCGCCACCACTGTTTCTTACTATTGAAACTGCATTACGATGTTAGGAGCTTTGTATACAACTTTATCATATCCTAATTTTTAAGGCTGTTGTATTTATCGCATACGGCTTATAGTATTCTTATTCTCTAAATTTTTCTTATAGTAGAGTCTTGTAAGTTGCTGAATTTTTAACATTGTTTAAACTCGCAACTGAATTTTGTGTGCTTTTGCATCAGCAAATAAGTTGATATGCTCAAAGTTAGCAATGTTGTCTGCTTCATCACGCTCAATACTAAGTAGGGCCTAGTGCCAAAGCAGATACAGTAGTCTCGCTTTTCCCATCGTGGCTCTGAGATATGGCAGGATGAGCCTTAGTCATGTAGTCATTACAGAATAGGATAAAAAACAAGAGAAAAACGGTCGAAATGGACTGAAAAGAAATCACAATCTTTAAATTTGCCAATAAAAACAACTACATTCAGATTCTTATTGACTGGAAAATATTCATGCCTGACGACACACATCAATTTCGTCGTGTTTTTCTAATTTCTACTTATTTTTGTACTCTCATTCTCCCATTTCAGCGCCCCCCCCCCCTTTAAACCTGACGCCACTAGCTACGCCACTGTATAAAAGTGCCATTTCCGGTCATCTAGTGACATAATCATTACCTTTTCCTCATCTATGGTGGGGCTGAAGTGTTACAGACACCAATCTCTGAACAAAAGCCTTATATTCCCTGGAATTTCTGGAAGTGCCATAATAATTTTACCTCAGCCCCCAACATGCTAGGACTACTGCATGGTATAAACCCTCGATATGTGGACGCCCCCCCCCCCAACCCCGACTCTATTCTAAATTCCTGGATTCGCCCACTTTTCATATTGCATAAATCGATTAAATAAGACGACAAATTATAAAAAATGTCTCTTCGCTGCATCGATTCCATCAGGGTTCTTCCCTTAGGCGGCCCCCAGCAATTTTAGTCCACTCCACAAATTCGCACCGCCACCCAATAAAAATAATGTGTACGGGCCTATGGTATTTGTACAGGGACTAGTTCCCTTTGTTACCTATCAGTCTCCTATTTTACTTAAATAAAATTATGATATAATTTTCATAATCTCCTGTAATACCAGTACAGAAGGCCACTTAATACCGCATTAAATAAAATATCTTTAGACCCCCATAATAAAAATTATTGGTCTATTACCCCCTCCCTCATCACTTTTGGGAAAATTCCAATTTTTTTTCCAACATATTTTTATTTCAAACGGTCGTTTTTCCATCTTTCTTCACTTGAAAAAAATTCTTGCAAATATGTTTACTGGTACAACAAAAACCCCTTTTATACAAATTTGATTCTATTCTTATGACTTTTAATATATTTGTCCTTAACCATTGATTTACTTGCGAACATCGGTAAAATGGGGGCGGGGTTAGGAAAAAAAAATCCTCCCTCCCTCATCAGTTTTTATTCTTTGATAGGGTGGTAAACTAATAATTTTTTTATGGGGCCTTAATGAATTTATAATGCTTTGTACATTATAAGATATTCATTTTAATTCAAGTCTATAATTTAATTTAACACTATCATTAATATAATAACTACAGTTCATATTCAGTGGTAGCTCCAGAGGTTTACCGGCAGGGGAGTCCGACATGTCCGACGGGGGGGCCGGGGTTCAAACAAGGGGCAGACAGAATCGTTTGTTTTTTCTTGGATAGATAATAAATAATTAAATAAAAGTATTCTACACTTAATCATTTTATACGTGTGTTGGTTGTTTGTGTTTCCATCAGTAAATGGTGAATTTTATATTTGCGAGATAATAGGCCTAAATAAAAGGAAATAAATTTTTATTGTGAAAAGAGTGAATTGGGTTTGGGCTATTGTAACGGCTG